CAGAGTCAATATAGTTCCCACTTTCCTATTCTGTCCTGCAAACTATGACAGGTGACTGGCTATGTAATACATGCATATCACAGTACAATGTGGGAATCAACTTAAATTCTTAGACCATTCTAGATGTCCAAATAGATAATGTGAATATAGCAGGAAAGCCTCAATATAGGGTTCACTTAAAGAATAAGGCTCTGGCCCTTCCTACTGTGTAATTGCCACACAAAGAAGAGAATATATAGTTTCAGGCTCAATTTCAGATTTCCCAGGAGGGATAAGGTAAATACATTTTCCAAAGAATACAAAACAGCTCATAGTAGCTGGAGGCTTTGGTTTGAGGGTCCTTCAGGTACAGAGCCTTCATCCATTCATTCCTTGTACATATATTTCCTGAGCTTCTAATCTCTGTGCCAGGCCCCTTGGTGAACAGATAAAAGTTCTCATTTCTTTCTGTTTCCATTTCTTGGACAAATGGTGTTAGACATTTTAGCAAAGAAGGACAACTTTTTTTTAAACATTTATTGTTGAGAGACAGACAGAGTGTGAGCAGGGGAGGGGCAGAGAGAGAGGGAGACACAGAATCCAAAGCAAGTTCCAGGCTCTGAGCTGTCAGCACAGAGCCCAACGGGGGGCTTGAACTCACAAACTGTGAGGTCATGACCTGAACTGAAGTCAGACGCTTAACCAACTGAGCCACCCAGGTGCCCCATGAAGGACAACTTTTTATTCATTCATTTATTCTACTTGTGTTGGAGAGTCTATAATGCAGGTAGAATATTAGGAGATACTTAAACAAGGTATCATCTCTGCCCTCAAAGACCTTGCAAGCTTGTTTTTTCATTAATCAGTCATTCATTCAAAAAAGTATGCCTTGAGCCAGGTGGCATGCCAGGTCCATGCTAGGGAACTAGAGAGGGAACAGGAGCGCACAGTTAGCTCCTGATGGGCTGTAAGTCCCAGCCTCAAGGGGGAGCAGATAGTAACACCTTTGGGAGAGTACAGAGTGTTAAGTGAAAACTGTGATCTCCACCCATGGTATTGGGTCAGGGCAAAGGGAGTGCATAATGGGTTTTCCTAAACTAGCTCTAAGGAGGGTGCCTCTTGTCTAACTTTTTAGTTGGGGCTGGAGAGAAAGGATGGCTTGGAAAGGAGTTCCAGTCCCGGGAAACAGCATAAGTAAAGATTTGGGGGATGGAAAACACCATGGCAGCGTACAAGACTGCATGTGCTGTGTTTTGATTTGGCTGTAGGACCAATCAACCAACTGTTGCACATAAATGCCAAGAGCTAAATCCTTGTAATATTGGCACAGTAAATAGTTCAAGGAAATGGGCAGCCAAGAAACAAATAAGCAATGCTGTAGATATCACAAATTAGAAGGGTGTTAAATAACAAATAATACTGGGACAATTAATAAGCTATTTAGAAATATAGTAGATTCTTACTCATAATTTTTGTCAGAGGTTAGGGGATTGGAATTTAGAGATTTTAGAGAATTAAGATTGCCCTCTATGCATTAAAATTTAAGATCAACACTAAAGGATTTACCTACTATACCAGCTCATTGAATATGTGATCCCATTAACAGTGCTGACCACATGGGCCCCATATTTACAAGGGCCCCGAGTTTGGTCTAATGTTCTGTTGTTGCCCTCCTGAAATTCTTAATTTTGGAAAACAGGTCTGTGTTTTCATTTTGCACTGAGTCCTGCTTATTATGTAGCAGTCCTGCTTGTGGGATTGGTCATCTATGAAAACAAGTTTACAGAGCCAAGCTTTAGAAGTAGATGTCCTCATGCTTTTGGAAGAGTTGCAGCCAACAGGATTAAAGTGTGTAGGCCACAAGAGCAGGACCATCTGTATGGTGTCTGTGGAAGCCTCAAGCTGTCCCAGACTGATGCCACTAAACATTCATTTTATTAGACACACTCTCTGCCTCTAGCTCTTTCTCATCGAGCAGCCTTTTAATTGTGATTTGGCTTCTTCCATGGTCTTCCTGCAGGGAGAGAGCTGGTCATGCTGACTCCATACTTGATTCAGGGGTGAGTTACTAAATTGGTGTTCTGGCAATACGCATGAATGAGGTGTTTTAATGGGAGCTTGCCCCTGAGAGACAGGCCCACGCTTCTGTTCAGTTTCTGAGATAGAAGGTTGAAGTCCATGCATTAGGCTGGTGAGTTCGCCAGAGTCAAGTGCAGGGCAGAACATTAGTTAAGAACAAGGGTTCTGGGGTCAGCCAGACAATGAATGCTGTGATCAGGTATTGGTCCTGTTGAACTAAAATGTGTGATCTGGGCCAAGATACATAAACTCTTAGTGCCCTAGCCTTTCATCTGTCGATTGGTGATAGAAAACCTACCTTAGGGTTGTTGTGAGATTGAATGAGAAAATATACACTAAGTCAGGGTTTCTCACCCACAGCTTGTTGACAGCTTGAGCCAGGTGATTGTGGGTTGTGGAGAAGGGGAGCTGCCCCATGCGTTGTGGCTTGTTTATTGGTATCTTTGGCGTCCCTCAGTAGCCTGCAGCTTCCCCCTAAGCACCCCCCAGGTGTGACAATCAGAGTATCTCCAGACATTGCCAGATGGCCTTTGGGGACAGAATTGGTCCTGGTTACAAATCATTCACTCACTGGCCAAGGTGTATATAGAGTAATGCCTGGAGAAAAGAAAGCACATGTTAGGTTTTATAATAATAAGGGCAGTTGGGGTGCCTGGGTGGCTCAGTCGGTTAAGCATCAGACTTAGGCTCAGGTTATGATCTCACAGTTAGTGGATTCGAGCCCTGCATCGGGCTCTGTGCTGACAGCTTGGAGCCTGGAGCCTGCTTCGGATTCTGTGTCTCCCTCTCTGTCAGTCCTTCCCCTACTGTCTCTCTCTCAAAAATAAATAAACATTGGGAAAAAAATTTTTTTAATAATAAGGGCAGTGGTAGTACTAATGATGATAGACTCCTGAGGCCTCTGGAAAGACATTTGTCAGCTGCTCACTGAACCTCTGTTCTTTAAATTTCTCCCGTCTACAGCAGAATAAAGGTCCACATGAATTAAAGGGCAAATGTAAAAAGATCTACTTTTAAAAAAGTGCAAGAGAGGTAAATCTTTAGATTTGTAAATAAAGAAGGAGTTTCTAAGCTCAAAACCAGTGGTATTTTGGGGATGTTTAATGTTGAGTTTAAATCGTATAGAGGAATTTTCTTCCTTGATCTCACTACATTAAGAATAAATAAATATACCTAGCCTGTGAAAACTTTGTAATTGTAGTTAAAAAAGCACACTGGTGGGGCGCCTGGGTGGCGCAGTCGGTTAAGCATCCGACTTCAGCCAGGTCACAATCTCGCGGTCCGTGAGTTCGAGCCCCGCGTCAGGCTCTGGGCTGATGGCTCAGAGCCTGGAGCCTGTTTCCGATTCTGTGTCTCCCTCTCTCTCTGCCCCTCCCCCGTTCATGCTCTGTCTCTCTCTGTCCCAAAAATAAAAAAAAAAAAAAAAAAAAAAAAAAAAAAAAAAAAAAAAAAGCACACTGGATAAAATGACTGTGAGAAATAGGTCAGTGGTGTTAAGAAACTGGTGTAAATCAAAAAGAAAACCAAATGCATACAGAAATTCCTCATATATAAAGACAAAGGTAGAAATATAGTCAGCTTATAAACATTTGAACATAGTTTAAAATGCAAAATAATATTTGTTTATTTGTTCATTTACTTATAAATTTTTATTTATTTATTTTGAGAGAGGAGGAGGGGGCCGAGGGAGAGGAGAGAGAGAATCCCAAGCAGGCTCCATGCTGTCGGTGCAGAGCCCAACACGGTGCTCTATCTCACAAACTGAGATCATGACCTGAGCCAAAATCCAGAGTCAGATGCTTAACTGACTGAGCCACACAGGTGCTCCTAAAATTCAAAGTAATTTTTAAAATTTTAAATAAATTTTTCATCTAAATTGGCAGGATTTTAAGCAGTAACGTCCAATTCTGTTGTATAGTTTAGAGAAGTCTTACACCTTCTTTGTGGGACAGCAGATGGGTACAGTCCCTCTGGAAGGAAGCTTGGTAATAAGTATGCCTTAAAAAATTGTCATACCTGTTAGCCCCCAAAAATTACGTTTGGGAATAATTCCCATAGCATAATCTGAAATGTAGACAAATATTTATGCATGAAGAGGTTTATTGCAAGCTTCTTTTAATAGAAGCCAGCTTAGTGTCTAGCATTATGGGAGTGGTTAATGTTAGTTTATGATAATTAATCAGCAGTCTTTAAAACAATTTTTGCAAAATGTTCCTAATGGCATATGCAATTCTTACAGTGTTAAATGAAAAAAGCAAGCTATTAACTGAATATACAGTATGAACTCAACTCAGAATAAAAACTAGAAAGGAATATGAGCACGTTAATCATATTTGCCCTTGGAAGACTGGGTTATGAGTAATTTAGGGTAGGTACTCGTAACTGTACAATTAAGTTGATCATCTCATAGCAGACTTAGACTTTTTTTGGTGTCTCTTTGAGGAATTTTTAAATATTGTGCATTTCTAGAGCTTGGAAATGAAGGTGGAACAGGTGAAGCTATGTTTCTTTGAGTAACAGAAAGTGGAAAGCAATTGTCATTGTCTTAAAGTACTGTTTTATCGGTTCGTGGGTTCGAGCTCCACGTTGGGCTCTGTGCTGACAGTGCTGAGCCTGGAGCCTGCTTCAGAGTCTGTGTCTCCCTCTCTCTCTGCCCCTCCCCTGCTCACGCTCTGTCTCTCTCTCAAAAAAAATAAATAAATAAATAAACATTAAAAAAATAAAAAAAATTAAAAAAAATAAAGTCCTGTTTTATATTTTAATCAATTTTTTATAAATTGAAATAAGAAATTGTTTTGGGGTGTAGACTGCTTGCCCTGGCTGAAATGAATTAATGTTGTTTTATACCATGGTTCTCTTTTTGTTCATTTATTTTTTTAAGGTATATTTATTGTAGTATGTTTCTTGATAAAAACATCAAATGTCCATTTTTATTTTTATAGTATGTGCTGAAGCTTATAATCCTGATGAAGAAGAAGATGATGCAGAGTCCAGGGTATGTAATTGATAAGTTAATTTTAAATTATACTCCTGTATTGGATCAGGAATATAATAATAAAAGATGTTAACAGGCATATAGATCAACAGAAGGCATAATGGAAGTATTTTGACTGTTTCTTTTTCCTAGTTTTCTCTTGGATGCTTTACTTCTACTTCAAGTTCTATAGAATTACTTTTTTCCAAAAAGAGTCTTTTTGTTTGGGTAAAAGGAAAGATGAATATAAACACCAGTTGTGGTTTCATTTCTTTTTGCACAAATACGGCCTGGTGATGGAAAATGTTTTTTAGCTATCTTTCTCATAGTGTTAATGCTATTTTTTCTGATAGTATTTCTAGTAAAGAAAAATACCGGGGAAAGCCTTTTTGTTCCTACTGGTTTATAACAACAGAAGCTTATTCTGAAACAAACAAAATCACAGTAAAATTACATCTAATGTGTCAGTTTAAAAGTTCTTACTTTTAAAAAGCTATTATGAGTCTTAATAGATTGCTCAGAAACTGATTTCTTGAAGACTGTAATGTTATTTGTAAGAATTTGTCCAGTTTTGTTTGAAGCAGTTTTTTTTTTTCAACGTTTTTATTTATTTTTGGGACAGAGAGAGACAGAGCATGAACGGGGGAGGGGCAGAGAGAGAGGGAGACACAGAATCGGAAACAGGCTCCAGGCTCTGAGCCATCAGCCCAGAGCCTGACGCGGGGCTCGAACTCCCGGACCGCGAGATCGTGACCTGGCTGAAGTCGGATGCTTAACCGACTGCGCCACCCAGGCGCCCCTGAAGCAGTTTTTAAGCTATGTCCCTTCACTCCCTTCACCTTTTATTTATTTAGTAAAAAGTAAGCTAAATATAAGAGATTGCTCTGCCTGAAAAATGGAAAGTAATGATTTTCTTTTTTTCCTTCCTTCCTTCCTTCCTTCCTTCCTTCCTTCCTTCCTTGCTGTCTGTCTTTGTTTCATACTTACTTGGCAAAAGCTCCATTTGTTGTTTGGCCTCAAAAAATAAAAATTTATTTCTGTAGCTCTGACAATACTTAAATAAGATTGAGTTTTAATATGGAAAAGCAAATAGTATATCCCTAAGTCATTACATCATTAAGCTCCCTGAAATATATGTAAAATCCAGGGGTAGAAAGATCAAGGAGCCTCTGTTACACAGAAGGTCTTGAAGAAAATCCCATCTCATTTTTGTACCTGTGGGGATTCCCAGCACCAGCATGGGGGGAGCTCACGGTTTGCTACCAGAACTCAAATTAATTTGATAATGTCTATAAATTCTGGCCTGAAATTATGTTTTCTTAGGATTAAGGTATCATTACTAATGTGTGGCATATTGTTAGCACTTCATGTAGGTGGAAAAACCAGGCCTTCCCCGTCGTGTACTTGATTTATGTATCTAGCAGAAACAATAACGGGTGACTTTGAAGAGGACACACATCTTTACACTTGTTCATAGCTACCATTTGATCCGTGATAGGTAAAGTGGTTGGCTGGGTCACACTCCACTTAATTCCTAACAGTCTTATTTGGGAGGGGTGGTACCCGTTAAGACTCATTTGGCTACATTAAAAAACCCAATCACATTAAGATAAAAATTAAAAATATATATATATATTGGGGAAATTTATTGCATATATTCTTGGAAATCTCATAGAATTCCAGAAAGAATTAAAAAACCCAAAAAACCGAAGCCGTAGCTGGTAGACAGGAGCCAGGCCACCTCTGGGGTCTCTCCATAGCAGTGATTCAGGACTTAAGACTACTGCTCTGGAAAGGGACTTGGCTACCAATTGCTTTTATGCTGTGTCTCTCAGTTTAAAGACCCAGTTTCCCTGGGAGAGTTTCTCACAGACCCAGCTAGGGGGCCAGGGACAAGAGGTGCAGACTTAGCTACTGGCCACCACTTTTAAGTGAAGGCAGTTCCTAGAGAAGGAGGAATCTCGATGGGTGGGGATTTACCGCTAGAGTTATCCCCTGTAACACCCTTCATATTACTTTTAACAGTGTGTTTGTAATTAACTTGTTATAATTATAAGGCGCTTCAGATTCTCTCCATTAGGAGAGAATGACTGTTCTTTAAACATGTTACTAAAAACTGCACTGTTTTTCCAGTCTTAGAGACTACAAGGCAAACTGCACCATAGCACTTGGAAATGATTATGACAGATTTCAAAATTAATTGGCTCTAAGCAGGTATTGGAAAATGTAAAGAAAATATATAGTATATTTTGATAAGGTACCATTTCATTTGAACGTTTTGTATTATTTCACAGACTATGCAGCAGATCCTTAAATCTCAGATTAGTATAAATGAGTATTTATTCTGATATGAATTCAAAGAAAATTTAAACACTTAAGATTGATGTTGCAAAATCACAAATTAGATTTTACCTTTAATGAATGAAAACACAGGGGTGCCTGGCTGGCTGAGTAGGTAGAGCGTGTGGCTCTTGATCTTGGTTGTGAGTTTGAGCCCCACATTGGGTATAGAGATTACTTTAAAAAAATGAAAATATCGGGGTGCCTGGGTGGCTCAGTTGGTTAAGCTTCTGACTTCGGCTCAGGTCACGATCTCAGAGTTCGTGGGTTTGAGCCCCGTGTCGGGCTCTGTGCTGACACCTCAGAACCTGGAGCCTGCCTCAGATTCTGTGTCTCCCTCTCTCTCTCTTCTCTTCCCCTCCCCTGCTTGCACTCTGTCTGTCTCTGTCTCTCTGTCTTTCTCTCTCAAAATAAATAAACATTAAAAAAATTTTTTTTAAATACTTAAAAAAAAATGAAAATATACAAGTTTTATTTACATCTAACATGTAGCCCTTCTGGTAGAGAAGAGCTGGTAAGTTTAAGAGTAGGTCATTTCTAGCAGAGCATGCAACTCTTGATTTTGGGGTCACAAGTTCAAACTCCACATTGGGTACAGAGATTACTTAAATAAAAATTTTTAAAAAACAATGGAACATTTCTTTGTTGTGTTACTCCACAGAATTTGGAGGGTGGGGGGTGCCTTCTGTATATCTGGTGGGGTGCTAGGATGTTCCTTGCTGAGCACCATGGACAAATCCCTGCCATCTTGGGGCTTAGAGTCTCCTAGCAGAATTAGACAACAAGCCAGTAAATTAATGAACAGTTGCAAAGTGTGAGCACTAAAAGGATAGTGAAGCAGGGTCTAGTAATGAAAACAAAACCAACCCCACATGACAAGGTCCCTAATTAAATGGAGTGGTTGCAGAAGGCCTCCTTGATGTGAGACTGGGGAGAGTCTTGCTCGAAAGCCCTGAAGCCCCTTTTGGGTTGATCTCAGAGTCTCAGCAGGGAGCAGGTGATAGTTCCCAGCCAAGGCAGGTGTGGCCACAGTGGTTCAGGTGAGGCTGGGGGAGGAGGGAGGGAGATTTAATACCCAGTAAATGTGATGGAATCCATCTACGTGTTGAGATTTAAATTTTTTAAACGTTACCTTCAGCTTTGTGTGGAGAATGGACTGGACAAATAGAAAAATATCTTGTACAGATATCTCTTGCTTTACCAAAATAGATTTGTAGTGTTTTCTTTAAAGAAAACATCTACATAATTTTTTTTATGAATTGTTTTTCTGATTATTTAGTTGAAAGACACCCAAGATTTAGATAAGTTGACAAACTTTTTCTGTAAACCTTTTTTTTTCCTGAAAAATTTACTGTTTTCAGATAATAAATATTTTAGGCTTTGGGGGCCATACAGTTTCTGTCAAAGCTACTTGCTCTGCTCTTGTAGCTTGAAAACAGCCATAGACACTACATAAATGGATGAATGTGGCTGTGTTCCGTTAAAACTTTATCTATGGGGGTGCCTGCCTGGCTCAGTCGGTAGAGCACGTGACTCGATCTTGGGGTCATGAGTTTGAGCCCCATGTTAGGTGTAGAGCTTATTTAAAGAAAAAAACCAAAAAACCGTATTTATGAACACTTGAAATTGAATTGTATCTAATTTTGATGTATCAGGAAGTATGAATTCTTTTGATTTTTATTAATCCCAATCGTTCTTAGCTTAGGGGCCATGCAAAACGAATTTGGCCTTCAGGCCATAGTTTGCTGACCCTGGTTTAGAGAATAAATTTTGTAGCCAGCCTCCCTGGGATGAATCATAGCTCTGCAGCTCCGAACTTTCTGACATTGAAGAAATTACTTGGGACAAGTTCATTTTAATATAGGAGATCATACAGTAGTTTTCTTCTTCTGTCGGCTTATTTTACCTAGCATGAATTGCTACCTGCTTCATGGGGTCAGTTGCTGGGATAAAATGAGTTATTATTTTTAAAGCCCTGAAACCAGTGCCTGGCACGTAATAAATGCTATATAATTATTTGGTTTTTTGTTTTACAATTATTTGTTTAAAAAATAAGACTTTTATCCGGAAATCAGAAATAAATTTTAATTAAAAAATAAAGTGGCTGCTAGTAAGAAGAAGTCACAGTTGGGTATATTGCTGAAGCCTTAGTTTTCCATATGCAGATCTTACATGTAGGATCACACCAAACCCAACAGAAAAAGAGTCTTTAGAAGCGGGAGAGCATCTTTTGAGCAGTTGGTTACAGGGTGGAGGCACCCAAAGTCTCAAAGATTCACCAGATTTCTGACTGCTTTCCAGAGCATAGAGCAGGATTTTAATACAGGGTCTGTTGTAAAAGATAAAAAAGACTCTGGGTACAGAGGAGTGATGGTGGGGAGAGGGGACAGAGAGAGAAAGGAAAGCAGTAGACGGTAGCTGTGGTGGCAGGATTAAGAACCAAGATTCTGGGGCGCCTGGGTGGCGCATGATGGTTAGCAAAATCCGACTTCAGCAGGTCTACGATCTTCATGGTCTGGGGATTTTGAACCTCGTCCAGGCTCTGGGGTGATGGCTCGGAGCCTATTTCGATTCTGTGTCTCCCTCTCTACCTACTCTGCCCCTCCCCCGTTCATGCTCTGTCTCTCTGTCCCGAAAATAAATAGACGTTGAAAAAAAAAAATTAAAAAAAAAAAAGAACCAAGATTCAAAAGTGTTAGTTCTTGGGGCATCTGGGTGGCTCAATCTGGTAGGTGTCTGACTTTGGCTTAGGTCACGATCTTGTAGTTCGTGGGTTCGAGCCCCACATAGAGCTCTGTGCTAACAGCTCAGAGCCTGGAGTCTGCTTCGAATTCTGTGTCTCCCTCTCTCTCTGCCCCTCCCCTGCTCTCTCTCTCTCTCTCTCTCTCTTTCTCAATATAAATAAACATTAAAAAAAATTAGAAGTGTTAATTCATAAGAATGGAGGTAGTAGGAGAGAGAGAAAAGGAAACTGCTGTTGTGTGAGGGGTTCCATACAGAGTGAATGGTTGGGGCAAAAGACTTAAATTCATTACAAGAGTAAATCAAGTGCAAGGTGGTGCTAAGAAAGATTAAAGAAGACAATTTGGGTAATACAGTCACACCTCAGCACTTCATGAAGGAGGTGGTCTCCGTTCCCAAGGGTCCAGGGAACTTCAAGATGGGGTGGAAGGCAGGAAGCTTTTGTAGGACAAGGAATAAGGAACAAGGAACCAAGTATAGAGCCCGGGGTGGCATGGCTTTGGGGGTTGGCTACTGGCCCATGCTATGTTTCTGGTGCAGCAGAGTATTTACGGGAACACGAAAGCTATTTAAATTGTGGTTTGCTGACGTTGCTCCCTGGGCAGGAATCCCTCCATCTTGGGCCTAGAAAGTTATTTCAGCAAGGGTGCCATGGTATCCCTGACTTTTTCTCTCTGAGGACAGAGCTTCTCAGCAGGCAGACATTTTATGATTGTTTCAGTGTTGAAGATCTAGTTGGATTTTGTGAAGTGAGAGGTGACTGTTTTATTGTGTTAGCCTTCCTTATTTGAAGTAGGGAGATAGGAATTTTGGTTGGCATGAATTTTTTTAATGCCCAGATTTAAAAAATTTCTTGTGTTGTAAGTAGTGAGTTAGTTGGCACCAGGGTCTGCTTTTTCTGTGTCCATATGTCATCTTAGAATCTAGTTTGAGGTGAAGTTTGCTTATATCTTACCCATATGGGAAAAAATGCAATGACTTCCTCTCCCACTGGCTAATACTCTTTTGAGGAGTATATAAATGCTACACAGACAGGCATACCTTGGAGATACTGTGAGTTCAGTTTCAGACTACCGAAATAAAGCATGTATTACAGCAAAGCCACTCAAATGAACTTTTTGCTTTCTCAGCGCAGAAAGAAGTTATGTTTACACTCTGTTGCAGTCTGTTAAATGTACAGTAGTATTATGTCTAAAACAACAACATCCATGTCTTATTTAATTATGTACTTTCTTGCAAAAAAATGCTAACCATCATCTGAGCTTTCAGCACATCCTAATAACTGATCTCAGATCACCTCAACAAATACAGTAATAATGAAAAGGTTTGAAGTATTCCAAGAATTACCAAAATGTAATCCAAAGAGACAAAGTGAGCAAATGCTGTTGGAAAAATGGTGCCAACAGACTTGCTCAACACAGGGTCACCACACACCTTCAATTTGTAAACACGCCTGTGAAGCGCAGTAAGGTGAAAATAAAACGAGGAAGGCCTGAATAACTGTAAATATCCTTTATTCCTCTTGGGCCTATGATTTTCATCAATTTTTAGCCACCTGAGATTGGCCTGAAGCACTGATTCTGATTTCCCATTGTGAGTTTTGGTATATTCATGGGCACAGAACTCACCCCTGCCTGGTTGTGGCTGTGCTGATGGCAGGGCCAGTGGCAGAAGGGCTGGGATACCTGCTCATCAGCTGCCATAGCCACTCTTTGAGCATTAGAATAGGAAAAGGTGGTGTGTCGGGGTCCAGGATGACGCCATGCCTGCTGTGTTTAGGACTGTCTCTTGCCTCTCTACTCATTTTATAGTTACAAACTACCGGTGTTCACAAAAGAGTGGGCCTTTTGGTTCAAGTTGGTTGAGGCTTCTGCTAGTCAAAAGGGACTCTGGAGAGTTGACAGGCCACACTTCCAGAGGGCATTCTGTTGGTCTTCCCCCTTCTAGAATGACAGTTTAGGAAGAATATACCTCACTTGTTTTCTTTGAGCTCATTCTAAACTGAGCACACCAGGACTGTTGGATTCATTTTTCCTCAAATCCACACTCCCTAGGCATAGCGGCATGCATTGACTTGGTCCCTTGGGAAAATTACTCTTTGGTCCGGGTAGTTAGGTACATTGTGCATAAAAATGTATCTAACATCTAATGCAATATACTTGTAAGAATTAATTAGCTTCTAGAGGCAATCAAGTTTCAAAGGGAAGATCAACATCCTGAAAGACTGTTGCACTCAGTGGTAGAGTGTGAAACAGTATTGAAGGCTATTGAGAGAATATTAAAACAGAACGAAGACAGCCTGCAGATCTTCAGCGTAGCTGTTTTGACCTGCTGCCCTTTTGTGTGTTCCTACTGGCTGGGAGCTTTGGAGTCTTTAGTGATGAGCCAATCACAGACTTTTACCAAATGAATATGCTAATCTGGGGGAAACACTCTTGAAAACCATTCCAGTGCTGAATTGATGAATGTGCACCACTTCCCAGATATCAGCTCTGTTACTTGACCTTTCTTAGTGAGCTGCTAGCTGAGGTCTGGCCACCTAAAGTGAACCTCAGCACTGACCATTCTTCCCTCCAACATCCTGCTAGGAAATTTCACCCCTTACGAGTAAGATGAGTAGACTAATTGTTTGTTAATTTGGTATCCTTTTAGATTATACATCCCAAAACTGATGATCAAAGGAATCGATTACAAGAGGCTTGCAAAGACATTCTGCTGTTTAAGAACCTGGATCCGGTAAGACAAATCTCACTAACCAGAAATGTTGTTTTTTTTTTTTCCCAGTGTCAGAGTGAAGAACTGGGTAGGGTCTTAGATTTTACCCTCTTTACAAGCTAACATCACCCAGGATGATGTAAAGGCCCCACCGTGGATGCCTGAGTGTATAGTGGGGTTGTGTTCTAGGAGAACAACCCCAGGCTTCAGAGGTGCTCTGTTGTCACAGCTAGGAGTTCACAGGCCTGCCTGCACCTTGTCTGGGGAAGACATTATGTCATCCCTCGAGGTTACTTGTTACAAACATTGCCCTGAGAAATGGCCCAGATGAAGAGAAGGTAGGACCTTGCATTCTTTGTACAGCCAGTAGGAACGTGCAGGATGGTGCAGAGCCCATGGTGGATTGCCTCTCTTACCAGCTAGTAATAGTAATTACATTTTAATGTGTGACTTGTCTGTTATACGTATTTTAAAGGTAACATTTTACTTGGCCTCAAAGGAGGCGGATTTCTTTCTTTCTTTCTTTTTTTTTTTTTTTTTTTTTTTTTTTGGTAAGGATTTCGAAATCTCTGGTCTTTGGTTCTGGGTGATTTTCTAGAATACCCTCTTTCAGTGTTTTGCCCTGAATTCTGACTTAATTGTTCTTTTCCTTCATCACAGATTATGCCTCTTCACTGCTCTGTGGTCCTTTGGGTTGCCATGATCCTGCTGCCATGATCCAAATGTGGGAAATGAGTCAACTCTTGTAGCTTACCTCAACTTTTCTTTGTTGGTCAAACGCAGCATTTTATAGTTTTCAGATTGATGTCCTGGAGAAGAAAGCATTAAATTAACACCTATTCTTTTAAAGATAAGGTCTTCTAAAGGCCATTTTTATAAAGAGGAAGGGACTGCATTATACCAAATCTTCTATACTGGGTCATATGACACCTGCAACATTTTTTAAAAATCCTTTGTTTTGCGGTACCTGGGTGGCTAGGTCGCTTACATGTCTGCCTTCGGCTCAAGTCATGATCTCATGGTTCGTGGGTTCGAGCCCCACATTGGGCTCTCTGCTGTCAGCACGGAGCCCACTTCAGATCCTGTCTCCCTCTTTCTCTGCCCCTCCTCCACTTGCACTTGCTGTCTCTCTCTCTCTCTGTCTCTGTCTCTCTCTCTCTCTCTCTCTCAAAAATAAATAAACATTTAAAAAAAAGATTCTTTTTTTCTAGTACCACATATGTGTCTTCACATCCTCCAGGAACACAGATTATACTTTGTGACTTTGGAGATATTGTTTTAGGACCACACATTACATACAAGTTCTTGTCCAATTTGACTCAGGTCCTCTAGAATTCTGAGTTTGCAAAACTGTGAGCTCTAAAGAATGGGGGTGTTGGTTGTTTAATAATGAAAAATTAAGAAATGAAATTAAGATAGAAAAATACAGGAATTCAGTTTAGAAATGGAAACATTTTCTTGTAGTATTAAATTACAGATAGAATAAGTGACTAATGGGAATTTGTGAAATTTTGATGGGCTTCCAAATAATCACATATTTCATTTATCTAGAATGATAATGATTCTGTGAAATAAAAGATACTTAAACTATGTAATTTCTTTCTTTATTTTTTTTAATGTTTAATTTTGAGAGAAAGAGTGCAAGTGGGGGAGAGGCAGAGAGAGGGAGACACAGAATCTGAAACAGGCTCCAGGCTCTGAGCTGTCAGCACATCTCCTGACATGGGGCTCGAACCCACAAACCATGAGATAGGTCATGACCTGAGCCGAAGTCGGATGCTCAACCGACTAAGCCACCCAGTCACCCCTAAACTATGTGATTTCTATTGATCGTCCACCAGTGCGAGTCCAAATAATTACCAGTGGAAAGATACAACTTTGTGTGTGTATGGGGGTGGGCATTGGAATTAAACTAATTTAGTATTTAACTCTTGCCCTTCAGGTACATGTGGAAGACAGCTGTAAAATTAATCCTCAGTTTTTCCCTTCAGCTAAACAGATTCTTTATTTTTCAACTAGAACTTTACATGGTAGGATTTCAGAGCTCACCGAAAACAGTGCTTCTCACGCTCTGCTGCGCCTGTAAATCATCAGAGGATCTGGTGAAAAATGCAGGGTCTCGTTCAGTAGGTCTGTCATGGAGCCTGAGAGACTGCATTTCTCACCAGCTCCCAGGTGAGGCTGATGGTCCTGGCCCACAGCCATGCTTCCAGGAGCAGGCACTAGGGCCAGATGTAAAAATGCTCTAGTTCAGGTTTTCGGCACTCCCGCCTGTTATTTTGTTTGCATACTTTCCTATTGAATTGAACCCACATTTTAATGCATGAGCAATGACTAGACATTGCTATTCAGGTGCCTGTACACGAAGTGATAAACAGATGGGAGTGAAATAGCTGTTAGGCATGTTTTCCGGGAATGCTTCCTATTCTGTTCTGTCCTCTAAATTGATTTTTCTTGCCATTTCAGCTTTAACTCTGTTAAAGCCCTGTAAAAAGTGCATTTAAAATAATTAAATTTGGGGTACCTGGGTGGCTCAGTCGGTTAAGCGTCTGACTTCAGCTCAGGTCATGATCCCATGGTTTGTGGGTTCGAGCCCCATGTCGGGCTCTGTTCTGACAGCTCAGAGCCTAGAGCCCACTTCAGATTCTGTGTCTCCCTCTCTCTCTGCTCCTCCCCTGCTCATGCTCTGTCTCTCTTTCTCTCCCAAAAATAAATAAACATTAAAAAAAATTTTAAATACGGGCGCCTGGGTGGCTCGGTCGGTTAAGCATCCAACTTTGGCCTAGGTCATGATCTTGCGATTCGTGAGTTCGAGCCCCGTGTCGGGCTTGGTGCTGACAGCTCGGAGCCTGAAGCCTGCTTCCATATTCTGTGTCTCGCTCTCTCTCTGCCCCTCCCCTGCTTATGCTCTGTCTCTCAAGAATAAATAAATGTTTAAAAAAAAAAATCTAAAAAAATTTTTTTAATAAATAAAATAATTAAATTGCATTTAAAATAATTTTTTAAAAGCTATTACTAGTAGATTCTGGCAAGGAGCATCTTTATTTAATTAAAGTGATTATTTTTATAAACAGTAATTTTTTGTAGCCTTCTTTTGCTACTTTGATGAAGGTCTTCAATATGTATATATTTTTCAAAGGCCAGTTCATAGGGGAGGGAAAAAAACAAGAAAAAGCCGCTTCACCAAATTAGCAAATTCATGAATTACCATTATTGAATATTTTATAGGGAAGAAGCAAATGTATTTACATAGTTGCTTCCAAAAGATTTTTTTTTTAATTTGAGCCTGAACTGTCTTGATTTATTTCCCTACTATCTCAGATCTTTCTGGGAATGATGCAAAATATAGATGAGTAAAAATGTATGTTTCTCAACAAATTACCACCTCCCCAAACATGACAGTTTGAAGATTTTAGGTTAAGCTTATGGTCTTGAACAGTGTTCTGGTTTTTCTCATGATACACATTTTTTTTACAGTAACCCAAATGCATTTACATTGAATGACATATTTGGCTCCTATAACCTGCTTATAAAATAGCGCCCTTCAGTTTGATGCCGTGCCCGCATACTGTGCTCCAAAACCTGTATAAAGTGTTGGATGCCACAGAAATGCATGGTTCTTGTCCTCTTGGAACTTACCATTTGATGGGGGATCCAAATACCCACACCAAGCAATTTGGTAAAACATGGGAAATGCTGTAATGTAGTCAGGACACTGTGAGAGGGTGGAGGGTCTCTCAGCCCCCTGAGGTTTCAGGAACCTGGGGAGGCCACCTGAGCTGAGCCTCAGAAAAATGAGTAGAATAGGAACTTGGCAGGGGAAGAAAAGGGAGTGTTCTCACTGGAGCCTGGAGCGGAGGACACCCAGTGGAGGGAGCATAGGGTGTGTGTATGTGTGTGTGTGTGTGTGTGCACGGTGTGTCATAAAGGACTGTTCTTGACCTCCACCCTGCAGCGTTGGCTGCCTATTGAAGGCAGTGGGAAGTCACACTTGAAATACTTTCAGCAAAAGTAGTAATCGAATGTGTGTGACGTCACTGTGGTGGCAGGGTAGAGGGTAGAAAAGTGGGAAAAGGGACTTAGGGAAGCGGGGTGGTTTCATAAAATACTCAGGATTAGCAGAAGCTGGCACTTTTTAGGGACTGGATGATTTGTGACCTGATGCACAGGGTCTAGGACATCTTCCTCCCAGTGTCTCCTCTGGAATGACCATGAGCTGGTACCTTTTTCTGAAATGGGAAAATTTGGAGGAGGAAAGGGGGGGCAGTAATTACTCACTTATAAGAAGAATGATCTAGGTTTTGTATCTAGCATCTCATCTCAATTCCCTGAAGTCATTGTGTAGCTTGGAAATCTTGCACCTCCTTGGCCTCTGAACGTTTTTTCCTGGGAGTACTGTGTATGCATACATTGAGCACAGCATTTGTAATTATGAATCTCTTTGAAGATACCCTTTTCATGAATATTTCAATGCTCGACTCAGTAGGTCATTTTTCTTCTGCAATATTTCTAATTTGAGACAAACTGAAATAATTTTCCTAGGCTCTCTGATAGGTTCTTTCATTAATGGAGAGTAAATTGTTATTTTTGAAGTGAGTCAGAGACCTTTCACCAAGCACAGTCATGGGTCTGCGTTCCAAAGAATAAGCTGTGGATTTCCTACTGTGGTTGTCAGTCACTGGGAAAACCTCTGCATATTAAATATTTCCTGAGTTCTTTTCACTCTGTGCATAATGATGGGGAAAGTGCATTTTGATTGATTAGAACAGACACCTGTCACATTGAGAAGTTCTAGAAGAAACGATTGTTCTGTATTTTACCAGGAATTACTTTTCTATCGGTATGTGAATTCCTAAGCTTTATAATGTTCTAACATGCAGCTCATTCCAAGATGACCAAAAAAAAAAAAAATAATGTATTTCATCTTTCTCTCCCATTTGACATTTAGAGAAAGAGCTAATCAATAAGGCTGATATTCCCTCTCCATCGGGCCTAAAAGACTTGGAATATAAATAGTAAGC